TTTCTTCAATAAACAACAACATAGTAGACAGATGAAAACTGTGTGTACATAAATTTGACAAAGAAGAACAAAAAAAAAAAAGATTCACTCTTTCACACAAGACTTCATAAAAATAACAGAAAGGGAAAAAAAAAAAGAAAAAAATTTGGAAGCATAGATAAATTTTGCAAATCATTGATCTTTTGCTTGTTTTTTTTTTTCTTTTCGTGAAAAAAACATAGACAATTACATCTTTTTTTTTTTTTTATTTTGGCAAAAAAAAAAGAAAGAAAAGAAAACAAAACTTTTCATACAGAAATAAATATATATTTATATAGATAAGAGTGAATAACTTCTATATATTAGAATTAAATTGAAACAGAAAAAAAAGAAATGTACAACACAAAAGAAAAAGAGACAAAAAAAAAAGAAATGATTTTCAATTTGTTGCTATGTCAGATCTTATTTTTTTACTTATCGACTGAAATTTTCAACGACTAGACGATGATTTGTTTTATACGACTATTTTTAATGAAATACCATAAATATAAATTATCATCTATCGTTCATTTTAGTTGCTGATGAACGTCGAAAATTTGATGATGATGAACGTGATCGATTTTTACGTTCATTTGGTACTGAATTTGGTCGATTTTGTACATGAGCACTTGGTTTAAGACGTCCAATTTTTATATTAACACGTCCATGTGGAAGTGTCTAGAAAAAAACAAACAATTAATAATTTATATAAAATATTTATGTTTATACTTTGAGTGTATAAGCAACATGTTCATAGGCTGCAGTTCTTAAATCTTGTCCATTTACTTCAAGAATTAAATCACCAGACATTAATCGACCATCTTTTTCTGCACAACCACCTTCAAGCTAATTTAACAAAAGAAATTAAAAAAATTGCTTTTTAATCAAAAACTTTTTATATTTACAATATGAGAAATAAATACACCATAACCATGTCGTCTTCCAATAATACTAAATCCTAAAATAAAATCACAAATAGATTTATAAATTAATGAATTGAAAATTTATACCAAGTCCTTTGCCAGATTTTTTAACTAAATCAATTGTTATTATATCAAATTTATCTTGTTCATTCATCATTTCAGTTAAAACTTTTCCTCGTAAAACAAGTATACGAACAGTATTTGTTGCTTGTCGTAAGGCTTGAATAGCTTCTTCATGTGTTGCTGAACGTAAATCAATGGAATTAACTTCAAGTATTTGATCACCAACAAGTAAACGACCATCACGTTGTGCAGCACAACCATCATAAATATCATGAATAATAATTGCTGACTTAAAATAAATAAATAAAAATTAAATTTTTTTAATTAAAAAAAAAAAAGAAGCTTTTTAATCTTACTAATTGTGTATCTAATCCACCAACAACTGAAAGTCCAAGACCAGAATGTCCACGATCAATTTCAATTAATGTTTCTTGTCCTACAAGAATTGGTCGTACACGAGGATCATCTTCTGATATAACATCATTATCATCTTTAAAAACACATTTTCAATAGAAAAAGAAAAATATTGAAATTTTATTTTGTTACTTACTTGGAATTAATGTTGGTAAACTTTCAGCTTGATTTATATTAACAACAACTGGTTGAGTTTGTGGTTCTCGATATGGTAAACATGTTAAATGTATATCATTACTATTTGCATGTTCTAACATATCTTGTATATCATTAAATTTTAATACTTCTACTGGTGTTCCATTTATTTGAGTCAATTGATCACCAGCTCGAATGTCTTGCTAAACAAAAAAAAAAAAGAAAAACAAAGTAAAATTAAAATATTCACATGAACTTTGTCATTAGAGAAAAACATCTATGTACTTGATCGGCTGCTCCATGTGGTTGGACACTTTGCACCCAAATTCCATCATCATGTTGAGTTAATGTTAAACCAAATGAGCCTTTTTGATCCTAACAATAAAAATGAATAAATATATATATATATTATGAAAATATTAATTTAAAAGAAGAAATTTTTACTTTATTTAATATAAGTGTGATTGGTGCACCTTGTATAGACATTGAAGCACGTCGTGGCACTTGTTTTGATGAGGATACAATGGGTTTTCTAGTTGCATGTTCAGTTGATGATGGTGTAGAGATTGACAATGATGATGAAGAACTTGAAGATGATGACATAATAGAAATAGGCGATGTCGCTGCACCGTTTGTTGTTGTTTTTATGGGTAATGCTGGTGTTTCTGGCAACTTATCTTCGGTTCTTTTCTTATTAGGTGATGATATAATGACGTCTGAAGGCAATATATTGTTTGTCTGGCTTTGTAATTCGTTTGATTCTGCAACTGTAGAAGAATGCGTAGGTGATGTTTCGTCTAAGAAATTACAATTGGTTCGTTTTTTTGTTTTGTTTTTTTGAAATAAAAAAAAAAAGACACAAACTTTGATTTTTTTCGTTCGTACCATCTACTGAAGATCTTAATATTTGGTTATTATCTATAGAACTATCTTTGTTTGTTTGATTTTTATTTTCTAAATATTTATCATTCGCATGATGTGCTTGTTCATGCATTAATAAAGATGATGAAGTTGTTATTGATGGTAGTAGTGTCGATGATAATTCGTCATTTTCATATGCGTACGATTGTTGATTGAATGAAGATGAAATGAAACGTTGAGTAGAAGAACTAACATCGGAAGAAATAGAATGAAACGTCGTGATCGTTGCATTACTACTAATATTATGATTTAATGATGAAACATCGTTGTTGTCGTTTTGAAC